CCCCCTGCACCTCCTTAAACCTCCTTGGCCCCCCTTACACCCCCCATGGTCTCCCACTTACACCCATCCCTGCACCCCCTTACACCCCCTCCTGCCCCCTGCACCCCCTTAAACCTCCTTGGCCCCCCTTACACCCACCCCTGTCCCCCTTACATCCTGCACCCCCTTACACCCCTCCTGTCCCCCGTAACCGCCCTGCACCTTCCCTTACACCCAGCCCCTGTTCCCCCTTACACCCCTCATGGTCTCCCACTTACACCCACCCCTGCACCCCCTTACACCCCTCCTGCCCCCTGCACCTCCTTAAACCTCCTTGGCCCCCCTTACACCACCCCCTGGCCCCCCTGACCCCTCTGAACCTCCCCTTACATCCAGCCCCTGCACCCCCTTAAACCCCTCCTGGCCCCCCTGCACCCTTTACACCCCTCCTGGCCCCCTTAACCCCCCCTGCACCTCCCCTGACACCCAGCCCCTGCACCCCCTTACATTCCTCCTGCCCCCTTGCACCCCCTTACACCCCTCCTGGCCCCCCTTGCACCCTCTGCCCCCCTTAACCCCCCTGCACCTTCCCTTACACCCACCCCTGCCCTATCTATAACCTGGTAACAGCTGAGGGCTACCCAGAGGGGCATCACCTGGTGAGTGAAAGGGACCCACCTCTGAACCCCATCCCCAGCCATGGTGCTGGCAGTGATTTCCAGGGGGCCCTGGCTGAGATGATGGAAAATCCCGTGCTCAAAAAGCAGGCCCTGTCCCCTGGTAAACAGGGCGGGGTGGGGGCAGGGGACATGTTTAATTCATTAGGGAATGTTTGTGAAGTGCTTTGAAGATGAAGCGCGCGGGATGATTATGTATGTGGCACACGCGGCCAAGAGAGAGGTGCTGGGATTCCATTCTCCAGAGCGTGCAATAACCGGGCAGTCTGTCGTTAAAAGTGCCCCGTTCTCCTCTTCGCACATGTTCCTGCGCTGCCCCCCGGGGCCGCTGGGATTGACGGGAACGGGGGAACGGTCCTGGGCACCCAACCACGTCTCTCTGCTCCCAGGGTCTCTGAGAGACCTGCGGGGGACGCCCAGCCACTGCCCCAGCAGAGCCGTCTCCCCAGGGGGGAGGAACTTTTGAGCTGTTCAATCTGTGTTGCAGTTCAGCGCTGGTGGGTGAAAGGCGCTGGGCTGAGAGCTGGGGACCAAAGTCCCGTTGATGTGAACAGCAGCAGGAGAGCTTCCTACTTGCACACCCAGCAGGGCTCTCCCCGGTGCGTGGGCGAAGGTTGGCCCCGCTGGAGAGCAGGGGATCAGTAACCCCACCCCCAGAGTGCTGTCCCCGCAGGGCCAGGGCACCAGCTGGCAGCCCCACACAGTGACTCAGCCGGGGACGGGCCCTAGATTCAGCTGGCCATTGTCATGGGTTGCAGGGCAGCCCGTCTCCCACCTTGCTTTGGCCCCATTAGGGTTGTATTTGGCACAAGGGGAGAAATGCCAGAGGCTCCGTGGAGTCCAGTAGGGACTTGGCTATTGCTAATCGATTTTATGTACTACGGGGATGGGCGGCCAGAGAAAACCGAGAGAGAGAGAGAGACGGTATTTGGTGAGGCTTTAATTGCCGTTCGTTATTGGTAATTATCGTGGTGAGTGGGAGAGGATGCTTTATAAACGACGTTATTTTGGGGCAGTTGGAATGATCAGGTGTACTGGACACAAATCTGGGAGCTGGGAACGCCTGGCTTCTAAGCCCAGTCTCACGCTGACTCGCTGGCTTCCTGACGTGCACGCTCAGCTTAAAGCATTGAAACCAACCCACCGATTTCCAGGGGGCAACTCAGATACTTAGAGCCGAGCCGACGCTTCCGGGGCCGTGAGCTGTCACCAGCTGAGCACCTAAAGGCCGAAGCTCCATAATTTGGGGCCCCTCTTGAAAGCGAAGGTTTTAGCCTCGCCAGGTCTCGGTTTCCCCATCTGTGACTTGGGGATAATGGGCCTCTGGCTCAGATGGCGGTGAGCGTGTTCGTACAGCACGTCACAGCTGCAAAGTGCCAGCGTTTCATTTGCCTCTAGGCTTGGCAGTTCATAGCCCCGGCGCCTCTTTCAGTACAAATTAAGCACTGGAAAGTGCTACATCAGCAGCGGCACTAATTAGTATGATTAGCGCCTCTTGATCAAAGCTGAGAACTGGAAAATTCACTTATCTCAGCAGCAAAAGCCGGCGAGTGTTAAGTGACTCTCCAAAATATGTGCAGGCCACACCCAAGCAGCCCAGCACAGAGCACCATTGTGCGTGTGAAGGCCGCTCCTCTTTCCTTTCCCTTCATTTCTTCCCTTGTCCCCCGAGGGAGAAGAGATTTTGATGACAGGGCAACTGACAGTTTAATTAAAGACAGCACTTTACACGCAGGTAGCGTATTTGTGAACCAAGTGGGAGAGCAGCAGAGAAAGCCGCAGTGGGAGCTGGCAGGAGAGCGGGTGAATTTCCAGGGGGTCAGGTTAACAAAAACTGCTCCTGTCTTTCCAGAGAGGTGCCCGCTGCTCCGGGCACTGCCCCCTCAGGACGTGGAGGGGGCGGGCTCAGGTACTGCAGAGGAAGGCAGTTGGAGAGATACCCCAAGCCCATTAGGGGAGAGGAGCAGACAGATGGATGGATGGGGAAGGGGAAGGGTCATTTCTGTGTCCAGACTTTTAGCAGAGCCTTGACCTAGCTGCCTTGTGCCTGCAATGAATTGCTGGTGAAACTGGCAGGACACAGACACCTCCCTGCCCGTTTGTATCCACAGACCAAGTGTGTGGGGGGGCAGCTAGGTGGCAGCAGCTACTCCCCATGGGCGGTGGGTGTCATAGGCCAGGGCAGGCTAAGCACCCCAAGGCCCTGCCCTCTCTCAGCTCCAGCCAGGGGCCCTGAACTTGGGCCGGCTGCTGGCCAGGGTGGCCCAGAGCAGCACTGGGGGGAGGGGGGGCTAGCACTCAGGGCTCCAGCGCGCAGGGGGACGAGGCCTCGGGTGGAAGGGGCAGGTGGCAGGCTAACCTCCCCGAAGGGGGGGTTCACCCATCGCCCAAACTTCTGCCCCAGAATGTGGTAATCACAGGAAGCCGGGCTCACAAAGGCAAGGGTGAGAGAGGGCTCCCCAAACATCAGCTGCACATTTGGCACAAACCCTCGTTAGCACATACAGCCTCATTAGCACAGGTGGAGAACCCCATCTGTGCATGTGCAAAGAGGACAGTGCATGTTGGCCCAGTGCAAGCCCAGCAGTGCTAGGAGAGGACACAGGGCCTGAAAATGCACCCCTCCCTTTCCGGTTTCCCAGCCCCGTTGCATTGCAAAGACGCAAAATCTCTTCTCCCTGAGGACTGAAAAGCCGGGTGCGGACGCGGAGGGCCTGGCTCCCTTGGTGCTGCCATCCAGTAGCAGCGCCCCCGGGGCACGGAGCTTCCGCAGCAGGAACAAGTTGGAGCGAGGCTTGGAAATGAGCGTTTATCTCCAATGAGGAGCACGAGGCCGCAAGATAGAGACAGCTGCAGCTGGCTCCAGTGGCAGAGGGAAACAACCTCCGGCTCAGCCCCCTGGAGCAGGCTGGGGGCTTGGAGGAGGGTGCGACAGCTGTCTGTGCAGGGGGCTGCCGATCGGGCTGGGATGGGGTTTACGGCCAGAGCTGAGTCTCTCCCTTGGCATCCACCCGCTCGCTGACATCGCCAAGCGGCTGGCATCAAAGGGAGCGAACCCTGCTGGCTTTCCTCTGCCTCGCAAGCAGGGGCATGAGATGCCACCTGCTTCCCATGTGCCACCTAGCTGCAGGTCGCCCCACACCATGCCCACTTCCAAAGCACGGAGACAAACCAGCCCCCTCCCTTGGCAGACTGTCCAGCAGGACAGGGACCCTCACAGGCTCTGGTTATGGCACCAACACAAGGGGAAAGAGAGATGCAGCTTGTCCCTGCTGTTCCCACTTCAGGGCTACTGCTTGGCCCGGACACTCCTGTGCCAGGTACCTCCCTGGCCTGGTATTAGGAGCTCACACGTGATCTGATCTCTAGGTGGGTCTCCCCCCACTGGCTCCCCAGAAGTCATCATCAAAGCTGAGCGAAATCTTTCGGCTGACATTTCTTTTTGGTGGAGGATGCAGATTCGGTGACCCCGCAAGGTTTGGTGAATTCACGTGGGTTTTGCCAACTTGTTAATTTAAGAAACAAACAAACAAAAAATTCCAAAACATTCAAAAAATTTATTTTGGGGGGGGCGGGGGTCCAATTTCAAAAGCATTGTATGTAAAAGCACTCAACATTGAACTGAAATGTTTTATTTGAAATGAATTTCTTTTCCAATTTTTCGATTGGCCACAAAATTCAAAACATTTAGTTTTTGGTTTGATGTAAAACTGCCCCCCGCCCCGGTTTTATGGAATGGCCCACAGGCTGAAATATCCGTCATTCGCTCAGCTCTAGTTGCCCTGTCACCTCCATCCTAAGTCACCTCTAAACACAGAAACAGCAGCGGAGTGTCACGTAAATGGACATTGTGCAAATTACACTCCTGACTCTATGTTCCCAACCCACATGGGAGCAATAACAGGCCCTTCCAGCAGCCTCTGGTGGGTGCTCCCCCCATCCCCTTGAGCCCCAGTTACATGTCCACACACATCCCAAACTCCAGGCACACATACAACTGAGAAAGAAGACCACAGTGTTTTTTTTTAAACTGGCTTAGAGGGGAAGTGAAAGCAACTATTTTTTAAAAGCATGTGTAACAAATGGATGAGAGAGAAAGATGATAGCAATGAATATAAATAAGAAGCTAGGAATAATAGAAAATTGATAAGGGAAGCAAAAGGACACAAGGAAGCAAAAGGACACATCTATGATCAGCAAAGTTAAGGACAATAAGAAGGAGTCTTTAAAAGTGTATTAGGAGCAAAATGAATCCTAACAATGGTACTGGTCTATTACTAAATGGAAAGGACAAAATAGGCAGCAGCATTCAATAAATATTCTGTTCTGTATTTGGAAAAAAAAGTCAGATGCTGTATTCATATCATATGATATTGATGAAATATTTTCCATCCTAACAGTAACTAAGGAGGACGTTAAATCAGCAGGTCTGAGTAACTTGCATCCAAGAGCTTTAAAACAGCTGGCCGAGGAGCTCTCTGGACCATTAATTTTGATTTTCAATAACTCTTGGAACACTGGGGAAGTTCCAGAGGACTGGAAGAAAATCAATGTTGTGCCAATACTTTCAAAGGGTGAACGGGATGACCCAGATAATTATGGGCTGTCGGCCTGACAGCGATCCTGGACAGACTAATGGAACAGCTGACACAGGACTTGATCAATAGAGAGATAGAAGAGGATAATATAATTCATGTCAATCCGCGTATATTTATGGAAAATAGAGCTTGTCAAATTGTCTCGATAACTTTTCTTGGTGAGATTACTGGTAACGTTTGGCTGGTAAAAGGAGCAAGTTGATGGAATACCAGAAACATCTATGAGGTGTTGGGCTTGGTACCACGTGGCATTTTGATTAACCGTGTTTATTACGGTAGCGCCTAAGGACCTACCGCGGACGGGCCCATTGAGTGAGACAAGACACAAACACAGAGCAGCAGATGGTCCCTGCCTCGAACAGCTGACAATCAAAAGAGACAAGACAGACAAAGGGAGGGAGAATCTTCGAATCATAGAACTGCAGGGCTGGAAGGGGCCTCGAGATGTTGTCCAGCACCCTGCGCTGAGGCAGGACCAAGTAAACCTGACATCTGGTTGTGCAGCCTGTTCTTGGAAACCGCCAGTGACAGGGATTCCACAACCTCCCCTGGACGCCAATTCCTGTACGTAACTGTCCCGATAGAAAGTTTTTCCTAAGATGGAATCGAAATCTCCCCGGCTGCAGATTAAGCCCATTGTTCTTGTGCTCCCTTCAGTGGACATGGAGAACAAGCGATGCCCATTTCCTTACAACAGCTGTTATCAGCACAGGTGCCGCCGTTCCAAAGTGCCGGGGGAGCTCGACCCCGGCCCCCCAGGCCCCGCCCCAACTCTACCCCTTCCCCCAAGGCTCCTCCCCCACCCCGCCTCTTCCTGCCCCCGCACCATCCCTGTCCTACCTCTTCCCACCCAGTTCCGCCCCCTCCCCCGTGTGCGTGCTGCATCTCCGCTCCTCCCCACTCCCCCCCAGAGCCTCCTGAATGCCACAAAACAGCTGATTGTGGTGGGCGGGAGGGGTGGGGAAGGAGGAGGAGGAGGCGCTGATTGGCAGGGCCTGCTGGTGGGCGGGAGGCACTGGGGGGCGTGGGGGGGAGCTGATAGGGGGGCTGCTAGTGGGTGCCATTCTTTTCCCGTGGGTGCTCCAGCCCCAAAACACCTATGGAGTCGGCGCCTATGGTTATCGGGCTTCTTTTTTCATGACTAAACATGCCCCGGTTTTTTAACCTTAGGTCAGATTCTCTAAATGTTTTATAATTATTATTACTCTATTTGGGACTCTCTCCAATTTGTTCAGATTGTTCTTAATTGTGACGTCCGAAACTGGACCCAGAACTCCAGCTGAGCAGAGCAGGACAATTATCTCTTGTGTCGTCCATACAGCACTCTTGTTCATACACCCCTGAACGAGATGAGACTTTTTTGCAATTACATCACATTGTTGGCACATGCTCAGTCCGTGATCCACTCTAACTCTCGGACCCTTTTCAGGAGCACTGCCACCTAGCCAGTTATTCCCCAGTTGGGAGTTGTGCATTTGATTTTCCCTTCCTAAATGTAGCCCTTTGCACTTGTCTTTACTGAATTTCATCTTGCTGATTTCAGATCAATTCTCCTATTTGTCAAAATCATTTTGATTTCTGATCCTGTCCCCCCAAAGTGCTTGCAACCCCTCCCAACATGGGGTCAGCCGCAAATTATCTTGCAGCCTCTCCAGCCATTATCCACGTGGTTGGTGAGAAGGGATAGAACGCAACACCAGAGGGCGCAGTGTGATGGCAGCCAATAACACGCTGTTTATTTCCATGATTTTTGGGGGGTGGGCTCAGTTAGGAGGTGTTCAGGGACGTGCCTGCCTTGTAGCACCTCTTGCTGGCCGAGTGTGGCTTTGCGGCGTCCTGTGTCAGTCCCCTTCTCTCGGGACTCCTAACGCCATCCCTGCCTGGGCTGGTGCAATCACATCGTTCAAATAGGTATGTAAAGTACTAAACGGTAATCCGGTAAGCATTAGTCTTACCCGTTAACCGACCCTAACCACTAGCCCCCAGA